ACTGCAAGTTTGGTCTAATTTCTTCAGCTTTCTACAAAGAAAACCTACCAACACAACAGAAATGTTGGAAAAGCAATCTTTTTCTCTGATGGCATTTATAATGAAAAAATGCACATCCTCGATCGGATAAATATATTTACTTTGGGATTTTTTAGTACATATATTTACATGGGATAGGAAACAAATGAATTATTTTATTCATTTTAGTTGAAAATTATTGCTTGCATTAAATAGAATACTGTAAACTTTCTTTTTAGAAGTGAAGTGGTACCCATTTTTTTCCGACGTTACAGAATTCAAAGATCTGGAGTTTTGAAAGGTCTATTTATACACACTCTACATATATTAAACAAAACACTTATAAATAATTTGTATAATCTATCTCTCTTAGTAACTATATATGGAACGGAAACTGACTCTTGTACTCGTAACAATTTCAGGTTGTTAACTTGTCTAGACTTCAGTTGTCATTACAAATTTAATATTAGCAAGAGTAAAGGTTATATTATGACACACAAAAAATATTATTCTTTACAACCTGTTTAAATAGATCCGATCTCAGAAAGAATTCAACCATCCGTATGCTTAGAAATGTTTAAGACAAATATTTTTAGCTAGCTGCAAAAGCTTTTTAAAGTCTATTTCAAATTCAGAATTAATAATTTAAAAGTCTTATATCAGATTTCTACAATCTCAAGCCATTTTTAAAAATACTGGCTAAAAATGGCCAAACTCAAACCTTTTTTAACCTACAAGAAGCAATTTGGTTTTTTTAACCGAAAACAGAAATCGTTTATTAAATCCTTTGTTAAAATTGGTTTGCTCAAATGTTGTAAACTCTAAACAAAAATATAACAATTAATTGTAGCAATTAATATAACAATGTTAATTACATTGTTCCATAATGTGGCATGATACAACTATAAAACAGAAAATGACATTTTAATATTTATGTAATAATACTGAAAAGACCATGATTATACTTGCCCTGCACTCTCTAGATCTCTAACAAAATCGTTGTTTTCGGTCTTCTAAGGGTACTCGAATGAATGAATGAATAAAGTTTCAGATTCTACTTATATATATTTATTTCCGGGAACAACTTACACTTATATTTTGTTTTTGAGGAAGAACAGCCATAGTGCATGTTTTGCTTCCTTTGATTTCAATGCATGTTTTCTTCCTCCATTGATCCAAGGCCATTCTCGCAAAATTTGCATTTTATGCATTTTTTAACAGATCAGCAGTAGAAAGGAAAAATGAATGTATTTGATAACCAAAATATAAAAAAAACAACTAAGGATTATTATGTAACATATACATGTAATATTTTTTCCCTCTGATAACTCAAAATAGGCATGTTTTGTCTTCTCTGATAATCAAAACTCTGTAACAACTTCCCGTTATAAAGTGTTCATACTTACTTACTACGAATAATCACATTTACCCGTCTGAGTCATTGAACTTCCGATAAATCTTGTAAATACATATATATTATTATAACAGTAACTTGATCCGAAGGGTCGTATCACGTCGAGTTGACAGGCGCGGATCATCAGATCTAACGAGACGCGAAGCGTCGAGTTTGATCTGATGATCCGCGCCTGTCAACGAGACGTGATACGGCTCTTCGGATCAAGTTACTGTTCTAATGATAAATTTATTATATACCCCCTCATAACTAGCAAAATATAGCAAAAGAAAACTTTAGAGATAAATTGCGTAACATTTATCCATAAAACAAAGCAAAATAACAAGGGACTTTTTAACGCGCAAGAAAAATAACGTCATATTTCTGCGTACTACGTCATCAGTTTCAGAGAGTGGTGATATGGATTCAGAAAACAACAAGTTGGTGATCCGGAAAACGGATCACGACGTCACGTGATAGCGTAAATTCAACAGTAAAATTGGGTGATACACAATAGGTATATAATAATAAATTGTATTTTTAATTAGTGTTTAGTTTGTACAAAATGATGGTCACTGTAAGATCGAGCATGCAGAAATTATTTCTTTTGAAATTAAGTATTCTTTGACATGCAAAACTAGTTTGTCAAACCTAATTCCATATATCTTCACATGCACATGCATTCTGTTCATACAGGGTTGTTTCCCCTTTTCCAGTGTTATTCGCTGTTTGTTACTTTGTTTTTTTTTAACGAAGAAGTATTTTCGTGTTGATATTTTCATTTCATCGGTGTTTCAAGAAAATAAACGACCTAAAACTCACAAATTTGAACACTTCATAATTTACGATACTTATGTAACATTTGTTGTCACCAGTCTTGAAATACAAAAATTAGCTACCAAGAACAATACTTCCAATTCGCAGACTGTTCAGTAATCAAGTAACTCCTACAAAATGAAAAGCTAGTGGAAACAATATACGAAAAAGTAAGATGACGTACCTTTTCCATATCAGCGATAACATTTAACTTTTAACGGACTTATTTTTCTATTACATTGATCGAACCCGGGTTTAAAAATAAAGATACGTATATTGAGCAATTGTGATTTTGCATATTATCGATATTTCCTGCACGAATGATTAACATAAGTGACATTGCAAAAACACATTTAGTCGAAAGCTGAGTGATACTCTCTCATGCACATATTGTTAGCCCAAGGATTTTACAGTGAATTGTCTACCTTATTCATCATTTTGTTCGGAGACAAGGAGCAAAAGGAAGGTGTGATTGGTCTTTAGAAAGTGACTTACTCCTTCATGGCACCTGATCCCATTTCTTATGTTTTATAGGACTGTGTTTGTGTGCTCCAGAATCTCAATCGTTTCAAAGAAATATCGAGCATATGATTATTCTTTTATTTAAGAAATGAATGTAATATTTTTTCCTTTGATCGATGTATCAAAGAAAAATTTGGACGGAAAACTTCATCAATGCGCGTAGCGCATTGATGAAAAAGTTTTCCGTCCAAATTTTTCTTTGATACATCGATCAAAGGAAAAAAATATTACAATCATTTCTTATCATTTAATTTTTGATTTTGAATTAATAAAATGAAACTTTCCTTCACTTTTCTATTAAATTTACGCGTCAAAAACAGTGCGCACAAATTCATCACAACAACTTTAACGTTGCTGAAATTCAAAAGGGCTCAAACGAAGAAACGTTCTCAAATATTATCGTGTCATTACCAACATTCTCTGAAATAATTTATAGTTCTTTAACACAAAAAACTTACCTGCTGTGTTAACCCAATGGGTATATTTTCCACGGTAAGTTATCTAAGTTCGTAAATGTCAGGGGAAGCTACTCAAATATTCTAACAATTCTAACGTTAGGTCACAGAAATTTTGGATTTCATTTGCACATCTTTTCAACTGAATTTCAAACCGAACATATAAATAAGTATCACAACCTGTCAATGCTGTAAAGCCTGAAAGAGTCTGCTTCCGACTGTTTAAGATAAAAAAGAATTCCGTCCTCATTCAGGCAGCGTCGTTTTCTTCGATCATTCGTTTCCCAAGATTGAACAGATTTGGCCTAACGGTTTTCTCCGCTTTTAGCATAAAAAACATTTCTTCAGAATTCTGTTGTTCATACCAGATATCTCAAAGCCGAACATTTAACAAAAGTATGTCGATTTCTTTCCTTATTTCCCAAAACTGTATTAATATATTGTTGTTATGCAGACGATATGATTTGTTTAGCAAAGGGGGATAATTCAAAACGAAACGAAAGTAGAAAATAAGTCAGGAACGGAACGGACAGGTTTCGAAATTCAGGAAAATATCTATTTAATTAATTAAAGGTATTTAATTATTCCTTCAAAAGGTAATCTGGAAGGGGGAATATACATGTAAAGACTGCCAAAGTAGTTCCGACTGCTTAGTGCAAGCGAACTCTAGATTTTATTGATGCAGTTATCAAAATAATTTTTTATCCAATCAGAATCAAGTATTTTATAGAAATTAAATGATTTTAATATTCTGTTATTTTCAATTTTATATTCACATTTGATATTCACTCTTCTGAACTAAATGATATGTAATGGATGCCTCATTGGAATTTTCTGAATGTCATTATATCGATTTGTTAATTACATGTGAGGCCATTATTTCAAGGTCTCCATCATTTAGAAGAGTACGCGGTATTAAATTGTAATAATTATGTACAACTCTGACAACAATTTATAACTCTTAAATTTATTTCATATATTTACAACCTGTATTTAATAGCATAATATCCCAAAATACGTAACAAGATTATCAGGGCCACCATTGTTCCTATACAACAATAAACAGGAAGATCTATTCCTACGCTGTGCAACACGTCACTTCCGGTGATAAGCTCTGTTTCATTTTGGCACTTTTTGAATATTTGAGAGTCTCCGCACCTAAAAAACAAGAAATGTTTGTTTAATTGCCTAGAATTGATCGATCGTATCCAAAACAAACCTTGACCTAGGTATTCTTATGGTACATCTGTATACCAAAATTCATTTCAGAATGTGCAATCACCGAAAAGGAAATAAACAGAAACTGTTAATGGACCGTCAGACAGACAGCGGGAAAGCAATATGCAATTTATATATATATATATATATATATATATATATATATATATATATATATATATATATATATATATATATATATATATATATATATATATATATATATATATATATATATATATATATATATATATATATATATATATATATATATATATATATATATATATATATATATATATATATATATATATATATATATATATATATATATATATATATATATATATAAAATCCATAGGTCACCTTGCAAATTTTAGAAATATAAATTTTAACACACTTTCGAAAGGGAGTCATTTAATTATCATTTTAATTGAATATATAAAAAAAAACGGTGTTAATCTCCTAGATACCTGAATGGTTCTATGTCTTCGAATAAAACCGTCATAATGGCTGCAAAGGGATAATGAAGGAACGAAGTATACTTAGCCCAAGTAAACCAAGTGGGGAAAGATGTGTTAAAAAAGCCACCTGAAAAATAACAGAGAGGATATAAAATATTTTAACAAACTTTAACTTGGAGCAGGAAGGAGCTATCAGATTAATTCAAATAAGAAAGGTCTCTTCTTTGTATTGTACAGAAATCTGTGGACTTATTTTGAAGCACCTTGATTTATTATTACTGAGAATAAATCTTTAAGTATAAATAAATAGAGGATATTTAATGTTTTGAAGTTGAATATGGAATTTATTTCACGAGTAAGACAGGATTTTTTTTATAGTTTCACGAGTGCAAAGCACGAGTATAAATATTTTTTTTTTAAAAATCCTGACTCACAAGTGAAATAAATTCCATGATATTCAACTACAAAACATTGAATTTTCTGTTTATTACATTTTCTTTGATTTTCCCTTTTCCTCTCTCTTTTTCTAATGAATCATATACGAGGCGCCGTTTTAATAATTTCTAGGTATTTTCTGATACCAAAGAATCATTTTATGATATCAGAAATTCGATTTTTTGATACATAAAAAAAACCATTTTTTGATATTAAAAAAAAATCCTTTTTTGATTTCGGAAAATAAACAAGATTTTTTGATATCAAAAATTATTTGAATTTCTGATATCTGAATATTATTTTTTGATATAAAGAATTCGAATTTTGGATATAAAAAACATTTCCTGATATAAAAAAATCTTCGGGATTTAATGATATAAAAAAAAAGTAATTTTTAAAATCAAAAATTCGAATTCTTGAAATCAAAAATAAGTCATTTTCTGATATAAAAAATTCACAATTTCTGATATCAATAAATATAAAATACATGGTTACTGTCTTGAAATATAAGTGATATTTGGGCGAGGGTAAGAAAACGTGATGGAGGGCGAGGCTTGCCGAGCCCTCTTACGTTTTCGACCCAAGCCCAAATATCGCCTATATATTTCAAGACAGTTATCATGTATTTTGTTTATCCTGCAACAGAATTTTACATTTGAACGTCCAAAACAAGCTATTTCCGACAGATTTAGGCACTTCTCTGCAGTTGAAACTATGACGCCATGGCGTAAACATTGCAGTATACGTGACGTCACAATGCTTTTAGAACGTCGGAATACATGCACGAGGCTTTATTAGGGCAGTGACCGGATAAAGCTTTGGTTTATTAGTTTACCTTTATTAGGTCAATGCAAGGGGTAGTTGCAGGATAAATCATTTTCTAATATCAAAAATCGATTTTCTGATATCAAAAAATGATTTCTTGATATCAGAAATTAAAATTGATATCTTGATATCACAAAATATATTTTTTAATATCAGAAAATAAAATAAAATGGCGAAGAATCTTCACATGAATAATGAATACTCCATTGAACTGTAGAAAATGCCGAACTTTAGTGCCAGATTTACTTTCTACTGTTGATTTCAGATTTTAAGAATATTTTTTTAATGAAAGAATTTAATAAATGTTCTCGATATTTTTGGTCAAATTTATTTGCAAGGAATTCAAATATATTACTTTTTGGGATAAAGCTGAGTAAATAATCTAGGTGTGCTGTAGGTCGGGCTTAAACTGAAAATTATAATTTCCCTGTAAGCCGTATCAACAGCTGTCATTAGCTTCTCCACTTGCATATTTGTGTAAAGTGATGTTACATCACAGCTGATCAGCAAGTACTCGTTGTGTGAAGTTCATTCTTCAAGGAGGAGTCTGAGTTATCCATAAAGTTTGTGCTAAAGTTATGTGTGCCTAATAAATGATTAAAAATATACTGTAAATGAATTATATTTGGCGTGTATGATATTTGGCGGAAACTAAGTTTTGAAAATGTATCGGATATTTGATTTAGCGCATCCTTTAATTTACTTATTTATGAATATAATTATGTCGAAGACATTTAGCGTGTGCTTGAATTAGCGGAAGTTTCTATCCGCCAAAGGCGCTAAAAAGAATACACAGCCAAATGTAATACGTTTACAGTAGTCAATAGTGCAAAAGAACGACGGCATCCTTATAACAAGACATGTCTTAAACTTATGAGAACCCTGTTCAAAGGACGGTGGCATCATAACATAAACTTCTTAGAACCCAACAAAGTTTGCAACAAATTTGTGTGGCGGTTAGCTGAATGTTCATCACGGGGAGCATTCATTAAGTCGATTGTAATTTTACTTGGTTCTTATTTTCTGATATAAAAAATATCGATTTTGTGATATCAGAAAATACAAATCATCTTTCTGATATCATTTTTTTTGGAAATCAAGAACTCAATTTCTTGAGGTCAGAAAAATACAAGTTATTTTATGATATCAAGAATTCGAATATCAAAAAATTAATTTCTTGATATCAAGAATTCTTGATTCTTTTTGAATATCAGAAAATGACTTTCATTTTCTGATATCACAAATTCGATTTTTTGATATTAGAAAATAAACAATATTTTTTTATATCAAAAATTTTTATTTTTGATATCAAAAAAAATGATTTTCTGATATCAAAAAATCTATTTTTTGATATCAAGAATAGGAGTTATTGATATCAAGAATTTCTTTTTTGATATCAGAAAATACCTCAAAAAAGGCTACATGACATTATAGTTGAGCGGTTGAGACGTCATAGCCAATTGTTGTGAGATTTTTTAAAACGTATAGACAGGGATTTTAACTACGTATTGAGGGGAACTTTAGCAGTTTTATCTTAAGTTAGAATGGTTTATTTATTTTCTAACGGACCAAGGAGTATTTTTTGCAACATTCTTTGTTATTGGAAGGTAAATCGAGAGTTTTACCGCACTTTTGATATTTGTCACACAGTGAAAGGATATCATTTTCTTATCCTTTCACACTGTGACAGAAAATTAGTTTTATTCAATGAATAAATTACAGTATTTCACTGTTAAAAATATAAAATAAAGTTTCGCTTTTATTCAAAATCTTTTCATATTCGATCTTTTCATTATTCTTAACTTATCGGATTGACTAATTAAATGTAATTTTATGCACAAGCAAAATGTGATTTTCTCTTAAAAAAAAAAAAAACCCAACTGATAAACTAGCTTAAATTGATATTTGAATTTTCAGAAACAATTTATTAATAGATGAATCGCTATTGAGGTGTGCTTTCTTCTCGTTTTATCCGGAAGTCAGGTGACGTCTGGATGTCTAGTCAGGCAAAGGAAATTCACATCTAAGTTTTTGGCCAGGTCAGATTGAAATCATGGGCTAAAATGTGTCTTACCTAGTATTAGGAACACCACCATAAAAGTGTTGACAGTTGTTATACTGTATTTAAATGTGCGAACACAGGCTCCAACGATGTACCCTATGCTCTGTAAAAAAAAAAACAGGATATTTCTTGAATTACTTTGTGAAAACAAATTAAAATTGTCCTTATTATGGAGGGCAGAAGATGTTCACTCCTCCATGGCACCTGATCCCACCTCTGATGTTTTGGAGGTCAGTGTTTGCTCTGCTCCTGTTTTGTAGTTTTATTGGCTTTGATATTGAATACTCTTCATTATCTCAATTCGTTTCATTATTCTAATCCTTTGAATACCCCTGATGAAAAGATTGTTTCCATGTATCGCCTTTTCTTTAAATCTCAGTTCTTCATAAATCTAATTTATTAAATTTATGCGTTTTTTCACAAGAAGTGAAAAGAAATCGGCAAGAGGCAAATCCTATTTTAACCCTCTTCTTGTAGTTAAAAATTGATATCAACATAAGTGTAGATTTTAAAACAAACATATTTTTGCAAATACTACCAAAGCATTGAAATTGCTTCAATTTTTTTTTCAATTAAGGGAAAAAATCTAACCCTTATCATACCCCGTCCTTTGATGTTTAAGTATCCAAAAGATGTTAAAAATTCAGTAGCCAGTAACGATATCTTACCTGAGTGGTAAAGCAATTCAGAAGATTTATTCCTATATAAATGGCAAACTGTATCGGTCCACCTAGCCCTGCTAACCAGTACATGGCTGAAAGCTGGATAATGGGTACCACGATCATCATAGGAAGTTCACTGACCATCTTAGCTGTATAATAGGCAGACAGGCGGTAAGCACCTGCTCTTCTCTCCTTCCTCACAACGTCTCGTTCTCCAATAACTTTTGAATGTAAATAGATAGCATAAATGTACATTTATTTGTTATAAATTTAATAAATACCAAAGAAATTTTGAGATGCAACCTAAAAGAATTACTATTATTCTTATAATATGCGTCATGAGATGTTTAGATCTGATATCCGATCCTCAGCTAGGAAGGATAAGTCTTTAATTCATAATTCAATTCAAAAAAGTCACAAAATAAAGCCTGAAAATTAATTCTTTTCATGCAACAATTTGCATTTTATACCTCTCATTGTGCTTCAATGTTCTTTGAAGTTCTCAGAGAGGTTTTATAAAAATTCGAAATTTATATCCTATAAAAGTATTTTGAAATCACATATTTAAAGAAATTGATGTTTATTTCCATCTAACCATAGCTATCAATGTTTATTAATATAATATGTAATTAGAAGTAATTTATGGTGTTTTGCAGTGAAAGGAAAATCTTTATACATTTAGCATTATAAAATGGTGGAAGTAAATAGAAGAACATTAAACCAACTTATATGTATAAAAACTGTGCAGTTTCGTTAAAATTCTGGATACCTATGATTTTGGTTTATAATTTTTGGTTGTTGATCAAATTTGAATTGGAAAATGCATAGTAGGATTTTTTTTTAATTCGCATTTCCTGAAAATTTACTTGAGATTAATGGTTTTTATTTATGTATTATCCTTTGGAGTTTAAAATCTTTTATTACCTTTATTTTTATAATGAAAAAAAAAATCCTTCAAAAATGCATGTAATTTGTTCAGTAAAAGCTACTTAAATATTCCTCCTTATACATAATGAAGATTACATGTATATAAAATAAGAGAAACAAGATGTGTTTGTGAAACACTATGCGCCCAGCGGCAACAAAGTTCGGAAAAAGCTATTTTTAGCATTAAGGTCACAGTCAAGGTCACAAGGTCATTGACCTTGGTGTCATTTGAAAGGGCTTAATTAGTGGAGTATGCGTATTAAATATGAAATCTCAATCTCTCATGGTTCATAAGTTATAGTGAGGGTTCAAAAAAAGCTATTTTTAGCATAAAGGTCACAGTGAAGGTCGCAAGGTCATTGACCTTGGTGTCATTTAAAAGAACCTGATTGGTGGAGTATGCATACTAAATATGAAGTCTCTATCTTTCATGGTTCAAAAGTTATGGCAAAGGTTAAAGGTTGCAGAAAAAAGCTATTTTTAGCATATAGGCCACAGTTAAGGTCACAAGGTCATTGACCTTGGTGTCTTTTGAAAGACCTGTTTTAGTGGAGTATGCAGATTAAATATGAAGTCTCTACCTTTCATGGTTCAAAAGCTATGGTGAAGGTTAAAGTTCGAGACAAACAAACAAACAGACAGACAGACAGACAGGACAAAAACAATATACAGCCTGGATCTATCGATCAGGGCGCATAAAAAAAGAAGGCAGTCTGATCTTCATGCTCTGACAATAAATCAGTCCAAAAATTTAGGTATACAGACATTTGAAGAAAATTACATGACTTTTACATTTATACACTACATCATCTGTCTTCAAACCTTTTCATAATACATAGTGTACATTGTATAAAGTGTTTCCTATCGTTGCAAAACACACAAATCAATTTTTATTTCACATCTGCCAATAAATAATGGTATCTGAGGCTATATTAAAAGAAACTGGATTTCCATAAATGTGTAATTTTTTAAAATACATTCTTTGGGGTAAAATTGTCAGCTTTTTACAAAACCGTGTCATAGGCATCAAGCAACTTTGAATCCCATTAGGATGCATGGAATGTTGCATGTAAAACTTTAGTTTTAAGTTTGATTTAAGAAATTAATAAAACAAAGAGTTATCCTTCGTCTCTGAGGAGAAGATATCCTAAATGAAAAACGAAGTTCAACTTACAACTGGTTACAGAATCAGTCACCATTGCAAATCCCCAAAATATCAGAGGAAAGTAGACCTGTAAAAATTTGTAAGGCTTATGATAATTTAGCATATTTCTAATAATTAATATAAATAAAGTCAATGAAGAAGAAGACTTTTAAATTTCTCACCGCCCCCATCCTATCTCGAAGTGTGTCATTAGAAACTGGTATCTGGTAATATAGAACACAATAAATACTGGCAATAATCAGGGTGTGAATGAGGTTACATTTGTCAAATATCCTCCATTTAGATTGTTTGGCATTTCGCCAAGACAACATGCGGAACTGTGTCCAAAATGAGGCTGCCCACTTTCTGTTAACCGGGCGCTCTATATTGCCTGTAGAAACGTGTTCAAGAGTGGAAACATCAAGTGCAATCTCTGCAGGATCTGAAACCCAAGACCAAAAAAGGTTGATATTCTTAAAAGATACGTTTAATTAATTGATTCGTGAAAAAAGAGTGAAGAAGACGAACAGTGGTCCCGTTAAAACTACAAACAAAACAGATATATAAATGGGGCATAAACAAGGATCTCTGGAAACTCCAGAGGTGGGATCAGGTGCCTAGATGGAGTAAGCATCCCCTGTAGACCAGTCACACTTGTGGCCCTTAAGAATTGATGAAGTAGACGGAACAATCTCTAGAATTTTTTTATTGATTCATTACTAATACATACGTTAAGTACTCACCCGTCTTGTGGTATCCAAGAGAAATGACATGACCATTAGATGATGGTTCAGTGGCATGTCCGTTTGTTATTTTTGATGTGACATCACCGTTAATGGCCGACTCCTTTCCATTGACGAGTTCTGTATTTTCGACCTCCACCTTAAAATTTCTGAAAATATTTCTAAGTTTTAAATGTGTATTAGTTGTATTCACAAGACTGTTAAAAACATGTTAAATATTCGCCATTATATGAATTTCAAACTGTCAATTTGTGAATATAACTTAATATATAAAATTAATTATACTCACTTAGATGCTTCAAGAATTTTATTAATGACTTCTGTATTTGTGGTCAGCAGCTCCACTAAAATAATAACAAAAAACTTAATTCCAATTTATTACAAATAATTTATATAAAATATACATTCATACGAGATTTCTTAAGCTCAGTATTTGAAAAGATATTTCGAACGTCACGTCTTGAAAGTTGTTTTGGAAACAAAAACATTTAAAAGGCATGCATAGGCGATATCTTTTCTATTTTTCAAACTTGTACTTACACATGATATCAGATGGGTTGTAATGGTCAGGAAACTTTAAGCCCAGTCCACCAAAATACTGGAGAGTTTTGTGAGCGTCGCCAAAGTACGCCGGCTACAGGGAAGAAAAACCTCTCAATAATATTACTAATGTGAGACTTTTTTTTCTTCTGCAAGGCGAGATCAACTCTCTATATCTTAATTTCGTTGGTTTTCAAAATGAAAGGATGTATTAGCTTTAACAAAAGAATTGACCTATAGGAGAGAACAATTTCCCGGAAAAAACGACATTCAAAAATCAATCTTTATTTGTTGTTTTTATATATACAAATTTTTAATATTTGTATTTAATAAAATTTATTATTTACAACTTAAAAATAAACCTCCAAAGTTGACCGAAACACCATTTTGTTCTTCAAAGCATTGATTTTTGCATGAATTTTGGCCTTAAAGTCCTTCAGGGCAGGCCTGCCCCTAAATAAAATTGCGATATTTTGATAGGTTTTTAAACAAAAATGATTCACAAAAAAAAAAAAATAAGGAAACCTGATTTGCATCACCTGCTTTAAATTTATGCATCATATTCTTATAGTCGGACTAGCTCAGTTGATATAAGCGCGGACTATTACACCTTGGATGCTTTCAAACTCTGGTACAACACTTTTAAACTTTTAAATTTCGCCTTTTTAAAGATATTTAGATTTTTTTTTTATAGGGTATTTTCCCTTTAATTATCTATCCTTTATGCATGTCCATTCTTGATATATAAGAAACACTAAAGAGATATCAAATCGTAAAAATCCAATGTACCAAAACCTCAGTATAAGCACACTTTCTTCGAGGACAAGAATAACTCACTATGTGTTACTCAATATAGGTATTCTTGGCAGCACTGAACTGCAATGAATTTCAATTGTATATATTCCTTATTATGAAATCACATTGATTTTGGCTGCATATTTCAGTAAATGCACTCCCTTGGATTTCATTTAGGCTTATATAATTTGCACACTTTAATGACGTTTTATCATATCCACGGATAAATGGCCTAGACATGAAGAACAGAATTTTTTTGAGAAGTAAAGACAAATATCAATTAGTACATATGGAGATAACAAACTCTGAAAATCAATGAAAGGGTTCCTCCTACCTCTACTAACTGAAATAAAAATTTTAAGAAAAACAAATTATTATATGTATTTAGCCTAATGTCATTAATCAGAACGGAAATCGACAAGCTTTTTGTAGAGGAAAAAACCAAGCCCGGAAAGTAAGGTCAGATCCATTTGTATATAAAGTGATCCTTTACGAAATTTTGTATGTCATTAGATGATAGAAAGTAAATTTGTATACATTATTACACGTATTTGAACTCACTCGACCATTAACAAGCAACAGTAGCGACGAAAAAATGTGGAAAATGTGACTGGAGGGCTGATGAATGGTGGTCAGTATAATCTTGTTATACTGAGAAGCAAAGTCCCATAATTCCTGCATTAACACATGCGCAGTGCTAGAATCCAGACCGGATGTGGGTTCCTGGAAGGAAAAAAGACAATACAGTCACGTTCTTTTCCAGAGCATATCTTTAAAGCCGCTTGGTCCGATTCTAATCGCTAAAACTGTATATTCGTTTTATTGAAAAAATTTGTCCTTATTATCAACTTTTGTCAAATTATATCCCCAAAGTCTTTTTCTTTTAAAAGATATTAAAATTCAAAAGTTAAAAAAATAATTTTTGTTAGGTCAGACAAAAAATAATCCTATGTTGAATTGTTGATATCGCAATAGTATATCTGAAATTACAAACTTATATATAAAATAAATTTATTTACATCTCAGTGAAGAACAAACCCGAGCATTTTTTTATTCACAAAAAGTATATATATTACCTGTACATGGACAATATTTTAGCTCCTCTAAAAATCATTTAAAATATCTGATTTTCCTTTCTCCTATAAATATGCATATCAATATAAAAATTACTATGATACTTAATTTTGAAAAGATGTATTATGACTAAGACCATTAGAGAAAAAAAATAATCGGGTTTGAATTATCATCAATATTAGATATATCCGATAAACATATTTTTTTTCAGAAGTCACAAATATCTTAACTTCCGAAAAAATAAGGTTTTTTTCTGCGTTTTTCATGTAAGAATTGTTGTAATAAACTATTAAATCAATCTTATAATTCATTTTTATATATTATCTATGTAATGACGTACTTTTATTATGTAAGATAATATGTGCCTGTTTCGGGTTAAGCGGCTTTAAGTAAGTAATAATTTCATGAAGAGGGCCATTTTCCTTGTCTCTAATTAAGCTACTGATTTTTTTCCCCCTAAAATACCCATGTAATTGCAGTAAACATTGTTTGGGTCTAAAATAGATCATGTTCAGGCGTTTAGCAGCTTTTACATATAATCAAAAAAGGGACTGGAAACAGCTATACTCACGTCTATCAACATAATGTTGGGATCTGTAAGCAGTTCACATGCAATGTTCGCACGCTTCTTCTCTCCACCGCTCAGTCCGGGGTGCATGAAATCTCCAATCACTGAAATCAGACGTGTGAACTTCCATAATATAAAGGGCACGGCACATTTAAAGTGCAAAATTTGTCATTAATTAGGAAAGCAAGTAACACTAGATACATCAGTAAACACTTCATCAAGCAAGGAATTTTTTTATCAAGGGGGTCATATATATGAATATTATTTACAGTAATGAGGTATAGCGAATTTAACGTTACATTTGATTTTTGATTAAATTGTTAAACTGTAGAATGCAACAATTCCCTTACCAGTGTCCAAACATTTACGTAGATGGAGTGCATCTACAATTTCATCGATTCGTGCCATCTTCGCTGCTTTCGAAACGCTATCAGGAAGTCTTATCATGGCGGTAAACTAGAATTTTGAAAATATTTTGGAGGTGGAAAAATATATTCATTGCATTACATTCAATTGGTTTTTAAGAAAAGAAATATTTATAGGATTTTTTTATGTTTTGTTTAAGAAAATAAAAATTAAGAAACAATGTACTGTCGATTAGCAGTCTGTAAATTCCGCTTACGCCGCGGGGTTATGAATTTATTCCCATACTTACAAGTAACGAAAACATTTTATTGTTTATATATTCATGTATACCGCTTACATAGAGAGTTTCCCTTAGCGTCAGTCTAGACAAAAATATGTCACTCTGGAGAACATACGCCAGTTTCCGCCGCTGGAGCTTTGTGAAGGGGTTCCCATTGAGAGTTATCGTTCCTGATGTCAGTGTAAGATTTCCCGCCAACACGTTAAGAAGAGAAGTTTTTCCTGACCCTGTAATATAAATTCTAATTTGACAAGTTATATATTTACTTCACTGCTTTTGAACCGTTTTCCGTATTATAAAACCAACTTTTAAAGTAAAATTAAAGAGCACTTATCTACAGGTAAGCTAATGACAAATGATGTTCATCAGCATGTTTGTTATTTCGCATGTTTGATTTTTTGTAAATTTAAATTCTACTATAATGTATTAATCTTTTGATATTTGTTAAATTGAACATTTGAATTTATTCCTATATTAATCTTTCGAACAAATTTAAATCAAAAACACTTACTAACAGGTAATAAATACTTGAAACAGTAATATAATTTTAGACTTTTTAAAACCAAGAAGACTATAATATTTTGTTCACTTTGAAGATTTAGAAGAAGAAGACAGAACCTTACGAAAAATTCCCGAATTTTATTTACTTTACCTGTTGGCCCCATGATGGCCAAAATCTGTCCACTTTTAGCTTTTCCATTAATGTTTGTTAAAATCGTCTTTTCTTTCAAGGTCAAACAGATGTCGGTGAAGGTTAAAATGGCGTCGTTAGATCTTGTCTTCATGCTGTTAGGACAGAAAAAAAATAAGTACAAGCAACATCCCCCCAAAAATCTCAATGATATAGTCATCTGGGCAGAGAATGATTGCAATTTCCAAGTTCTGAACTTTCTATTTAGCAAGATACATAATCCTGTCCAAGAGTTTAGATGCTGATCTTTTCAAACAGATTGCATTGCACATGATCACTCGAAAATAACACGTTGCAATTGATAATCAAACTTTCAACTTTAACTTACAATACTAAGCAGGATTCAATAATACGCTACATCTGAAAACCACAGTGTGATCTTATATTGTTAAATAAACTAATAGCAGCTTACAAACGTTTACATGCATGTACCGTGTTTCTCCGATTTAAAATAAATAATCCTAAGTCATATCATGTCCTACAATGTCCAGTTTCTAGTTCAAATTGGACATTTAATGAAATTGCATATATGTAAGGTGTGCTCTATTTAAATTAAATGTTTTTGCTCAAGACATTAATGGGTAAAATATGTACTTACGTGCTTCAAAACGTGTTAGGATCCACTAATTTTCCCGATAATCATCGAAGGATATGCATCTCCAAAAATATTTTTTACTGTGTGGGAATATGATCCTGTTTGCTCATGTGTAAAGTTTCTTTTTTCCTTTAAATCTGAAGGCATTATAACTTATTCCACGTGCTTCGTCACGTGTAACGCTACAGGCCTCGTGTTTACCCGATTTAAAAAATGCCGGTATGTATAATGATTTCGTAATGGTTCATTCGTCGGATTAAGAGTTTTGCTCATTTAATTACAGGTATTTATCCCCCTCGGTCAATATTGTCTTTATTTCAAAAAGCTCTCCACGAGACATTTGTAAGATCCACACAAGCATGTTTACCATGATTATGTAATTATATTAAAACATTAATCCTAACAGCTGTATAAGACGATTTTTTGTGCCATCGTTTTTTATCGTTTCACGAATTTAAGCATTTGATGCACACGCTTCACTGAAATTCTTGTAAGGATTATATTTCAAGCTTATACAATTGCGATTTGATTTATAAAGAAGGTTAATTTTACTTACAAATATTTTTCTAAAAAGCGAAGTTTGTTAATATTTTGGGTCTTATGACTTCATTATAAATTCTAAGAAAATTTACATGTTTAATATATTTACATTTCCACTTTCCCCTAAAAGTCCAAAATTAATTTTTTCATGTTCAAAATCTCATGAATATGCATGGATATCCCGCAGCTGACGTCAAAATTATAAATGATAAAATTTTTAAAAATAAAAAAAGGGATGATCAAAAATGAAATATAATAACTTCATACAAGAAACAATAATGGTAATGTTATAAATTGAAATTTGATTTTAAAAAACCACCGTTCTGCGCATAATCACGTATACTACGGTACTTCACTTCTGTGTGTTTGTTACAAAAGCACAACAGTTTTATATTTCTTTCCATGTGATTAATTTCTATAACAAGAACAGGTACATGTAATTTGTAAAAATAACTCGGCAACGGATGGGTGGATATTAAATATTTCCAAAAATAAGCATGCCATTAAAAGAAAATCTTCTGCATCAAAGATTATTCAAGGTTGAATGTAGGGGCGGATAAGGATTTGTGGTTATTTTAAAACTTTGTTGAGGAAGAAACTGTGGGTCAAAAGCCCTACAACAAACAACCTCCTGTTATTCGTAATTTTAGTAGTAAAACCAGGCACAATAATAGTGTATATTTTTTTTTTAATTTAAAATTGATAAAATAGGTGCAAATACATGTAATTGTGTTTGGATAGCAAATTGCTTAATTAAAAAAATATCTTTTCAAACTTGATCACTGGGCAAGTTGTATCATTTTTGGAATCAGTCCTTCACTAAAACGATTAATCCAATCATAAATTGAATTTTAGAACTCATTTATCTCAATAAACTGTGTACAAATTATTATATGATACAAGATTCAATATGCTATTTAATATATTGTATGGCTATGTGTGTACAGAATTTCCCTCAATCTGAATTGTGGTTTTGTAGATATAGAGATAGTTTGCGAACTTTTTGATCAAAATTCCAGCAATCAGATCTGAAAAAAAATTGTAGCAATCAGATACATTATGTAATTATACTTCATTTTTAAACAAAATTACAGGATAAATTCACTTTTGTGTGAGATAACGGCACAGCATTCAAGCTTCAATGTTAACTACACATTTAACCCCCACCCCTTACAAAAATGATCATTAATATTAATATACCGGTAAATGTCATAAAAAGTGTATAAAAATTACTTTGACGCAAATACATTGTATATTTTAATTTCCATGGAAACAACCGTTCAAAATCTACTGCGAAATCAACTGTTCAATTCAAAAAATGTCCCGTAAAAAACGTGTGCTCTTTGTCAGGACTGGGATGGCCTAACAATAGGAAAGATAGGAAATCAATTGAAAAGCGAAGAATTTCTTTTCAAGTGTTTACAAAAGCTAAAACAAATTAATTTGGCTCTCAGTTCGTAAATTTATTTTGACATCCCAAAATCTTAAATTTGAAATTTGTTTTATTTTAAAATTAAAACGAGACGAATACACGTTTTTAAAATCATCAAATCAATTTTGAGTTATACAGTTGTATCAGTAGATATGCTCACATAAACAAAAAGAATCTCAATTTCGTTAGCTTTACATACTAAAAGAAAAAACATTCTTCGGTAACGTTTTTCTAATAGTACATGTACATGTATAAGATAAAAAGAACGAAAGAGTTATCATTCTCATATATCATTAAATAAAACCAGTCATGAACAGGGCAAAACACACCGACCAATGTAAACACAGATTGTGGGATTAGTTGCCTCGGAGGAGTAAGCATCCCTTGTCACACTCTCTTGTGAACCATATAGATTGATCAGGTGGACGGTGTACTCCATAGTCAATGTATGAAAAAAATGTAGACAACGAAAAGTGAGCAATCTCATAAAAACTACAATCAATGCCAATATATGAACAGTGCATAAATACAGACCTCTAGACACTTCAGAGGTGGGATCATTTTTTGATGCAAAAAACATTAGTTTTGGTTGGAATATTCTTCTTAGGCGAATGTATACGGGTGATATCAAGCTGCCTTATGCTTTGAAGTGTTATTTCTGAAAGCATTTAAGCTTAAATAACGAATTCAAAGCAATAAAACACCTTACATTAATAATACAAACTGTTTTATCCCCATTAAGGTAGTCCGATCCTCAGGTTTATAAAATTAGCAGTTAAGTATTCAAAAATACTCATAAAAGTATCTTTGAATCCACAAAGTTATGTAAATACCAAAGTTTATTAGCATGACAAAGTATTTCTTTAAGGTTAAATATTAAAGTTAATCATATTATATAGGGAAAATTATTATATCTGCAATACTTTTGCAGAAAAAGCGAATTGGAATATCAGCAATGCATTTTTAATTGCATATTGATCAACAGATATATTTTAGGTTAAAAAATGATAGGTATCCAGGCATTTAGAGAAACTGTCATGATCTTTATAATTATTTTGTATTTTTGTCTTCTATTTCCATCATGTATTCTATAATACATCATGTAAAAGGCTTTAATTTGTTATTGCAAGACATCACAAATTATTTCTTATTTTATGTCATGCTAATAAACTTTGGTATCTAGGGCTGGTTTACAATAAAATCTAATTTCTCTAAAACAGTATTAATTTTTTTCCTTTCATAGGGTACAAATGTCAACTTTAATAAGACCTTTTCGAAGACTTCCAAAAACCTTGAATCTTATAAAGATGAATAAAATGAAAATTGTTGCATGAAAAAAAAAAAAATTTTCAAGCTTCATGTTGATGCATTTCAAATAAAATATTAATTTTTGGAGTTATCCTTTCTGGCTGAGGATCGGATATCCTGAAAGGAAAACAATATTAAAATGTTTTTACTATTTGCTATTAGAGCAAAGATACGCGCATTCATAATAAATGTTTATTACATTTATACAATAATTTTCCACAGTTGTCATTTTAATCTTTAAAAAGATTATTTTCTAGCTGGTGTAAGAAAAAATTCCATAATTAATTAATTATAAATATCTTTGATTTTACCCTAGATAAATAATTTGCAAAAATCAAAAATAAAGTTTTATTTTTCAGAACTTTACGGTTTTTGATCCCTACGTTTAAAAAGGGCGCTAACTTAGAAAATTACATCTTATTAACTATTAAGAAAAGAAGTGATTGTTTTCCCAAAAATTGGCACATGTAGTTACTGTATCGTTGTCCCTTTTCTGCATGTACTTACAAATGATGATTTTAGGATTTTTTTTACCAATAGAAAAAAACCTAACAAATGTCTGATGATAAAAAATTTGTTACTTTACATGTTACATGTTATACTTATGCCCCCGTAAAAGAAGTTTTGGGGGTATACAGTTTTAACCTGTTGGTCTGTCTGTTTATATATCTGTCAGCAAAAACTTGAACCTTGCCCATACCTTGGTCGGACTATGGCTTTCATATTTCACATTTCATATTTCACATTTCATATTTCACATTTCATATTTCACATTTCATATTTCACATTTCATATTTCACATTTCATATTTCACATTTCATATTTCACATTTCATATTTCACATTTCATATTTCACATTTCATATTTCACATTTCATATTTCACATTTCATATTTCACATTTCATATTTCACATTTCATATTTCACATTTCATATTTCACATTTCATATTTCGGGTGTATTTTTGTGACAAGGCCTTTTTTGTGTACAACCAATTTTGACCTTTTGACATTGATCTTGGAGTTTGACATACTTTTACACAAAAATACCACACTTTAACTTTAGCATTAACTTTTCAATGGTATGTGCTAAGATTTTATATCGAAGAAATGATATAGAGTTCATGAATTTGCATAGGTAGTGTATATAAAGTCTGTGGGCTAAAAGTGTTGAAAGGGAAGGTTTTTTTCTTTTGAATTTATATCTCTGAAGGCTGAACTATTACTCACTTAGATGTAAAATTTTTGCCAGTTTTGGAGGAATTTTAATATCATTATAAGAACAATCATGGATTAAATGTATCAGATCCATATTAAAGTCGCGTATTAAAAGATTGAGGGGCAATATGAAAACCATCTATCTCTCTGTGTTCAATAATCCAAAAGTGAAAAAAGGATTAGATAGATTACATGATCTGTATACGTACTGGTCCCTACCGACAAAGCAGGTAATAACATTGTCTTCGTGTGTAAGGCTCATTATATAAATTGTATTTTAAAAGAACTTGCATTTAATTCTACAAGTGGCAATTCTTCTTATACTTCAACTTCCCTTTCTAAAGAAGAAATTCTTTAAAAATCATATGTCATTTTGGAATATTTTTAATATTCCTTAGAGCCAAAATGAATTTGAACTACCCTATGTATATATTGGATTCAAAAACGTTATGAGACTCCTTGCAAACAAAGATACATTCCGGGTTCCAGTATTCAACCAAGCCTCTTTCGTTAATTACTCATCACTAAGATATTGAAAGTAATGAAGGAAAAACCTCAGGAGTACTGTGCAACAATATATTCAAAAAGT